ACCCACCACACATACGCGAGAGTATGTGCATGTACTTACGTGCATCTGTGTGCGTATTCACCCAAGCACACCACATGCAAATGAGGAAGGAAAGCAGAGCCCATAACACGGAAAATAAGACACGTTTGTCCAAGGAAGCTTCAGCATCCAGCCTGTCGAGTTGTCAAATCTGCATTTTTGTTTCGTCATAAAAGTGAAGCTCGCGAGGGGATGTGACGCTACGATGGAATGTATTTGTACGTGACTGCAATCAAGAATCTAGTAAAAAAGATAATAAAAGATAGATAGATAGATAGATAGATAAAATGTATTTGTACGTGACTGTAATCAAGAATCTAGTAAAAAATAAAATAGATAATAGATAGATAGATAGATAAATAGATAAAATTATTTGTACGTGACTGTAATCAAGAATCTAGTAAAAAAGATAGATAGATAGATAGATAGATAGATAAATAGATAGATAAAATGTATTTGTACGTGGCTGTAATCAAGAATCTAGTAAAAAAGATAAAAATAATAGATAGATAGATAGATAGATAAAATGTATTTGTACGTGGCTGTAATCAAGAATCTAGTAAAAAAGATGATAAAAATAGATAGATAGATAGATAAATAGATAGATAAACAATCAAGAAGCTGATAGATAATAAATAGATAAATAAATAGATAGAGATAGATAGATAGATAGATAGATAGATAGATAGATAGATAGATAAATAGATATATAAACAAATAATTAAATAAATAAAATAAATAAATAAAAGATAAAAGAAAGAACGAAAAAAAATGAAGCGATTAGAATGTGCTGCTCATTTGAATGTATTTGGAATGACTGAATGGCTGATCTGCTAATAGACTCATTGGATTAATATGTAAGTGGTTTATTTCAAGATCAAATCCGAATTCAGATCGTAAGCGGAAATTGCGGTAATGCCAATAATAACATATTTATCACGTGATCTGTCTCCTGAATACTAAATAACAGAGCTTATGCTAGCAAATGCGATTTATTTGTCTGTATTCAAACATCTTTTTACTTTTCTCTCTCTCTCTCTGTTTCTGTTCATTCTTTTTCTCTCTCTGTCTCTGTCTATCCCACACATCTATCTGTCTATCTGTCCCTTTCATAACTGGAATTGTCATCTATCCATCTGTCCTTCAATATCTATCTATCCATCTGCCGTCTCGAAAAAAAATCTATCCATTTTCCTATCTCCCATGTATCATTCGCTATCTCTATTTCTTTGCCGCCTTCCCTCGTCCTTTCTTTTATTCTCTCTCTCTCTCTCTCTCTTTCTCTCTTCCTCTTTCCGCGCAAGAAATGCGGAAATTGCATCCTTCACTATTCATTAGTAATCTAATTACCGTGAAACTCGAGCCATTATTTTTTTTCTTCTTTTTCTCTCTTTCTTTTGATTTTTTTCTTACTCTGTCTTCTATTGTCGACTTCCATTCTTTCATTCGAATTCTCAGACAGAAAACGGGACGATCCTAATTCAAATCACGATCAGTAACGGTTTTTTTTTTTTAAAGAATGCATCTGAACTGCGTTTCGAATTTTCATCGAGTATTCTTCAGAACTTATCTAGGGGGGAAATAGGATCTATTTTATTGAAAGAAAGAAAAAATATGATTTTTTTTTTTTTTTTTTTGAGAGGCACTTCTTTCTTCTATTTCTTTAATTATGAATATTTTTTTTTCTCCTGTCTTTCTTATTTTCCTTTTCACTCCTTCCCGCGCTACTTCCGTCATCATTTTCTTTTCTCCTCCACTTTTCTTATTTTTCTCCTCCTTTCCCTCTTCCTCCTCCTTCTTCTCCGCCACCTCATCATCATCATCCTCTTACTGCTCCTCCTCCTGCTACCCGTGTCCCTCCTCCTCCTTCTTCCTCCTCTTCCTCCTCCTCTCCTTACTGCTCCTTCCCCATTCATTCCTTCTTTACTATCCTCCTTTTCCTTCCTCCTCAAAGATCAGGAAAGGAAAGGGACACCCACGTTATCATCATTATCATCATTATCATATTACTATCAATCATCATCATCGTCATTATAGAAATTATCTTTAAATCTTGGGTAGTCACTATATCAATCTTTCTCGATTTGTATTTATTCCCAATCGTGAAACAGATATTCGATGCTTGAAAAAATATGAATTGTCGACAAAGGCTTGTTGTTGAAGCTCCATTGTTAAAGAAATGTCAAAGATAAATAAATATAAGAAAGAGGAAAAAAATAGCCGTCCTTTTACTGGTTATTATCAAACCTTGACCTTCCATCTTTAAATAACTAAAATCAAATCCGATATTCTTTCATTTCTTCCTCAATTCAACTATATTGCGTTTTATTTTCTAGAAATCATAAACTTGTTTCGTTATTCTGTGTTTTGTACATCAAACCTGGACAAGCATATATTTTATAATTAATTTCTCGCTCTATCATCCTAATATTATTACTTCTAACATTAAAAAAACTATTTTTTCCTATTTCTTTTCTTTCTATTTCTATAACATAAGACTTAAAAAGCATAAACGTACAAATTCAATACAAACAACTTGAGAAAAACTAAACTATTTTCCGCTTTTGTTCTCCGTCAATACGAAGAACGTGTGAACAAAGTTAGACCACCTCTCTCGCTCCTCCTTTTCTATGACTTAAACGTAAAAAAAAAGTTATTCAATACGTGATGCGCGATCTTTCGTTCCCGACTTAGTTCAAGTTCAAGTCTCCCGAACTTAGCAAGGTCAAAGGGCAAGAGGAAAAAAGTTTGGATTTGTACAGAAGCGACAGTGAGTGAGTGAGACCTTGAGTCTGCGTTGCTCTCTCCTTCGTTTTTTTCTTGTTTCATTTCGTTTTGGTTTGTTTCTTTACGTCGTGCTGTGTGTCTGTTTGTTGTTGTTCTTTTTCTTTCCCTGTTTGTGTGTCTTTGTTTCTATCATTGACTCTTTCTTGCTTTCTCTCTCTCATTGTTTCTTGTTCTCTCTCTCGGTTCTTGCTCTCTCTCTCTCTCTCTTCTCTCTCTCTCTTCTTGTCTCTTGTTCTCTCTCTCTCTTTCCTCTCTTCTCTCTCTCTCTCTCTCTCTCTCTCTCTCTCTCTCTCTCTCTCTCTCTCTCTCTCTCTCTCTCTCTCTCTCTCTCTCTCTCTCTCTCTCTCTCTCGTGCGCTCACTCTAGTTTCTCCCTTTTCTCTTTCCTCTCTCGCCTTCCTCCTCCTCCGTTCAATTCCATCATTTATCTTATACTCCTTTCCTAATCCTTTCTATTGCCTCCTCTCCCTCCTCCTACCTCTTCCTGGAATCAAGAGTTCATTCTGCCCTTCTTCCCTTTCTTTCTCTTCTCTTCCTTCTTCCTTCCTCTCCCATTTTCGCCTCAACACTACGTTTATTCACGTCTTCTCATGCCCTTTTTCATAATGATATATGGCAGTGATTGAATCATATAATATTATATACAATGACAGTTATTTGTATTATTAATTATTAATTATAACATTTTTAACAATAGTTAATTGTTTACATTACACATAATGATTATCAGTTATAACATATATGATGATATTTCTATCAAATTACATATGATAATGACGTTCAGTTATAACATATACAATAATAGTTATTTGTATTATATAACATATGTTAATAATCATTAATGATAATTAGTATGATATGATTAATTGTCAAGATCACTATGATGACTATATAATTTCGTCTCATGTTTCCTCTCTTTATGTAAATTATTTTCAGTACCAAAAAGTGAATACAAATCTGAATAACAGAAAGTAACAGTGGTTATATTTTTGCGAAAAGTATGTGTGCTTTATCTTTAATACTTTTCAATTTTCGCATATAAAACTTTTTTCAATGATTGAGAAATATATAACCTTAAAAACTTTTACTAGCGAATATATGACCATATTCTTTGACTGATCTCATGTTTATATGATGTTATTATTCTTTTTTAATCAAGTTTTTAAGAAGAGAATATCTGCAGTTCTCTTCTCTCATTCCCTCCTCCCTCTCTCTCTCTCTCTCTCTCACCATCTCCCTCTCCCTCTCTCTCTCGTCTCTCTCTCTCTCTCTCTCTCTCTCTCTCTCTCTCTCTCTCTCTCTCTCTCTCTCTCTCTCTCTCTCTCTCTCTCTCTCTCTCTCTCTCTCTCTCTCTCTCTCTCTCTCTCTCTCTCTCTCTCTCTCTCTCTCTCTCTCTCTCTCTCTCTCCTCTCTCTCTCTCTCTCTCTCTCCTCTCTCTCTCTCTCTCTCTCTCTCTCTCTCTCTCTCTCTCTCTACTACTCTTATTTTCATCCTTGCC